CATCCTCGGAACAGCCCTGAAACCCTGAACGATATTTGTAAACTGTTACGTTAATGTCTCAGTGTACAGAGTAAGGACAGTGTACTTCAGAGTCAAACGAACATCCAGACTAGTGTTCGAAAGTAAAAATATTTAGTGTTTATATATACTATGAAAAATAAATAGAAAAAGATTTTTTTGAAGTGTGGGAACGATACAAATGTAATGTAATACATTGCACGGTATATAAAGGATGAGCTGACTAGCGACACTAATAGTACAGACGCCGAGCTAGAATCAAACAACCAGATCGTTTAATTGATCAATGGAAATTCTTGTTCTACCTTTAATTTACTGAACTATATGTACATGTATTACATGATGTAATTGTTTGAATTTTTTAGTCGGATGGCTCTCGGAAATAAAGAAATTGAAACTGTTGTCTCGACTTTGTCAATAATTACGTCAAAGGATGCTTGTTAAAAACAACAGACGTACTTAGGTGGAACCTAAGTACGTCTTAGACATTTCATGAGGTCAGTTAACCATCCTCATCACCATAAGACGACAACCTGACGTCATTGCCTTGTCAAAGTATGAAAACTGTTACACATGTACACACTTATATAATTTATCGGTCAGTCGTAAAGGTTAAGGCGAAATCATGGATGATAAATGACTCGGCAAAGTACACCAGGTGTACCACGTGTGGCTCAACATTAAACAGAAGAAAAAAATGATAAAATAAAATAAAAAATGCGTATCTATCCGTAAACTGAATAAAATAAACTGTATCCGCGACTGCGATAGGATATAAATTAATGTTCTCCAATCCATGTGACAGCGATTTCACCAGAAGAAATTTTGATAAGAAATTGTAAAAACAAAAATGGTATTTTGATCGTCGATAGATAATATAAGGCCTTTTAAAACTGTAATGTCCACAGTAGTCATATCTAATCTCAAATATAGAAAAGAGGACAGGAGAAAAACTGTGTAATACTATTTTTTTCTCTAATTGGATAACAGATTATGTGATTATGAAGAGCTTCCGGCTGTACGTCTCCATCCCTATATTTACTGTAGGAACGCGCAATGTAATGTATCTTCTCTAATTCAAGTATGCCAACAACGTATTTGTAGTTTGACAATATACGACACAAACAGATGTATATTGCATATATTATATAATTCAAACGTTTGATACTACTACAGTGTCAGATTTCAGAGCGGTGTACGCCGAAACTTTCACCTGACGTCCTAACGATCCAACAGGTGTGAGAGAGTGTGTGAAACACAACAGTCGAAAATTACAGTTTTACACCTCGAGTACAAAATGACAGTTATAAGACACTTGCGTACATGTACCTGTCAACGAACACAAGGTGTTGTTTGTTTCCCGAGACACAAACAAGGTGTAAGGTACGTGTCAGTTCGTTAGTGGATGTATGTCTTTATCAATAATTCCCTTTCCCGGGGTTGTGAAGCAAAGATAATACATGATGTTGGCAAAATAAAATGAGCAAGTTCATAAACATGCTTCATATCATTCTATTTGAATAGTTGTCTAAATATAACGTCAGTAAAATTCATGATCAATGATCGATAATTGATCGATCAGAAAATGAAACAAAAACAAATAGAGAAGCATTTATTCTTGGCCGTTTACTCTTACTTTCGGTAAAATAGGGCGGGCAGATATGTTGTGTGAATGCAATTTATGGGAAAACTTACGAGTAAAATGGTTTGATCAGTTTTCAAGTCGGCTCCGAATCTTTATAACTTTTGAAAGATTCATGTCTTAGTCAAACCAGGATTGTTCATAGAAAATCATGATCGGTGTGTCAGAGTCAGAGGTAAAAAGACCAATCTTTGATTAAATTGATTGACTGATTAAACGCAATACCCGACAGGCCTTAGACAACTTTATAACTGAACCATGTGATGTTACTAACGGGAAGTTGTACATGTGTTTCCACAAATGTGTCCCGTAGCGTTTTTTTACAGTATTCTTATGTAAATTTCATAGATATTTTTATCATTATCTACAGTTAAAAATGTTCATAGACGGGAAGTCTATTTCACAAAACGCTCGATATTCAATACCGCTTTAATTCTATGCTGTCTTATTTATATAAAATAAAACTTTTTTTTTATTAAATCAATGTAAGAAAAATCCTCATATCACACATAGAATTGGGAAACTGATGGGTCACTGATATCATTTAGAATTCCATAATTCTAATAATTTATTTAATTCGTAAACACACGAATGTATTTTCAAGAACCACAATTTTCATATTGTAAGATTACCAAACAAAGCCTGATTTTAAGATTCACTGTTTGTAGGTGAAGTTTGTGAATAAACTAAGAGACCAAACTGATCCTACTGGTAACGTTTTAGATGGAGTTTTACTCTTTTTTCTTTTTGTTCGAATTTTCAATTACATTTTGTTGAAAATTGCATGAAAAATATTTTGTCTAGTGATATACGACAGAAATTTAATTTAATTACAATTCTAATTATGTTCATTTGTTGATTTATTTTATTTGGTTTATAAGTTAGCACAAGGTTGAGCTACTGTAAATAACAGAAATAACCGCTAACCTAGATATTAGTTACATCTTAAAACGTCAATTCTCAATTAATATAAGCGGTTTTATTCTAAGTTTTGCTGTCAAATGTCTGTTATCATTTTCAGTTTAGAAAATGTATCCTTCCCACATTTTATATAATATCTAACATATGATTTTCGAACGTTATTTATTCAAATTGTATTTTACACGTATCTGATGATGAGATTTACGCTGTATTTGTCAACAGAATTGTATTTCCACTGAAATGGATATCTGTTTATATATATCTTCTAACATATAAACTCGTTCAGCTATTTCTTAGTTATTGATTTATTTTTTAATATTTACAAACATGTTTGGTTTAAAAAATATTTTATAGAGAAACATATCAGTAAAATTATAATTTATAAATATAAAAATAAACAGTGGTAACAAGCCTTGAGCTTATGAAAAACGTTTCCTAAAATTAACTCGTGTATCAATATATCAACTTCTTTATCTATTTATCAATATATCAACTTCTTTATCTATTTATCAATATATACAAATTACTCATCAATTCAATAACTGCATTTAGGTGGACTCATTTATCTTAATAGTCGACACTGTACGAAAATATCAACTTATTTACCTAGTTTTAAGTTACTAGTATCGTCAGTTTTTTTATCTATACATTAGTTAATACAACATATATTGATATATCTATATACATATACGAAACCTATTTAATCCTTTATTTATACATTAGCTACTTACAAAGTTAATAATTTATATAAAGATATATATATATACAATGTACATATACTAGCATATCTAATAATTTATCTATATATTACATTGTAGTTGTTAACAAAGTTAATAATTTATATATATATATACATATACTAACCTATTTAATAAATTATTTATATATAAGTTACCGACATAATTAATCATATATCTATTGTTGGTTACAAAAAATATTTTCATATTTATTTGTTTATAAGAAAATAACATCTTTACTTCTTCTATTTATATGTACAGTAACTAACGTATTTACTCCTTCATCTTTCTATAGTTACCAGCGTAATTATACGTTTATCTTTCACCATTTACCAGCGTAATTATACGTATATCTTTCTATATTTACCAGCGTAATTATAGGTTTATCTTTCTATATTTACCAGCGTAATTATACGTTTATATTTCTATATTTACCAGCGTAAGTCTACGTTTATCTTTCACTATTTACCAACGTAATTATACGTTTATCTTTCTATATTTCCCTGTTAAATTATACGTTTATCTTTCTATATTTGCCAGCGTAATTATACGTTTATCTTTCTGTATTTACCAGCGTAAGTATACGTTTATCTTTCTATATTTACCAGCGTAATTATACGTTTATCTTTCACTATTTACCAGCGTAATTATACGTATATCTTTCTATATTTACAAGCGTAAGTATACGTTTATCTTTCTGTATTTACCAGCGTAAGTATACGTTTATCTTTCACTATTTACCAGCGTAAATATACGTTTATCTTTCTATATTTACCAGCGTAAGTATACGTTTATCTTTCTATATTTACCAGCGTAAGTATACGTTTATCTTTCTATATTTACCAGCGTAATTATACGTTTATCTTTCACTATTTACCAGTTTAATTATACGTTCATCTTTCTATATTTACCAGCGTAAGTATACGTTTATCTTTCACTATTTACCAGTTTAATTATGCGTTTATCTTTTACTATTTACCAGTTTAATTATACGTTTATCTTTCACTATTTACCAGCGTAATTATACGTTTATCTTTCTATTTACAAGCGTAAGTATACGTTTATCTTTCACTATTTACCAGTTTAATTATTTGTTTATCTTTCTATATTTACCAGCGTAATTATACGTTTATCATTCCAGCGGCTCCCAGGGTCTCCAGTTACATTACAAATAAAACAGTTTCATTTATTACAACTGTAGTTATCGTTAGTCAAGGTACAAATTACCAATGTCCGCAATTCATTCGTTATCATTTGTATATCTGTTTTAATGTCTCACACAATAAAACGTTTATAGATTCACTGTTTGTACTCATTTAGCGAGTTTCGTTAAATGTTGATGTTCATTGTCAATAGCATAGGGACACTTGGAGAACCCGTACAATCATGTACAAGCGCAGGCACCCGCGACATTTTAGGGGTTACTGAAGTGAGCGTAAACTCTGGAATTTTGATATGGTAGCGCAGGTGAAGGGAACAAATGGACGGTTTTATTTTTATTTTGAAACAAATAGAATACATATTTTCTAATACATTAATATTTTTATTACCTACGAATTCATCGGTTTATATATAGGTAAATACTGATCAAAGTTTTCCATGTTGTATTTATATATAAAATATACGTGCTTTTGTATTTTTTACTTTTTGTTGTGTGTATTAAGGTCCAACTATAAACTCACCTGAACCCGGGATTCCGTCAGTCCGATTCTCAATGCTAATTCTTCCCTCATGAATATATCCGGGTAGTGTGTCTTGGCGAAGCTGCGTTCCAGTTCGTTGAGCTGAGCTGGAGTGAAGCGTGTCCGGTGCCGTTTTTGTTTGGAAGGTTTATCCAGGTCGCTGATGCTGTCCGGTGTTCCTACGCTCCCATTAGAAGAGTCCTTGGAAGGATGCATGTCTTTCATTCCCGACATAAGTTCCTCCTTCATGCCTACAAGGTCGAGATTTAATCTGTTACGGATTACATCTATAACGACAGTTTGTTAGTTAAGTAATTTGTGATATTGAAAATCTAACAACTTCTCTTCAAACCGCCTAATTTTATTTTACTTTCTGGCACAATATAAATGTTGTTGTATGTATGTATTATATTGTATTATATTTTGATATTTCTCATGATTTAAAACGTTTTAATTAAGTGACTTAAAAACCAATCTAACGATCAAAATTTTATAAAGACCGTTTTATAAAAGGTACATATTGTTAACATAGAAAAAGGTTTGTTTTACAAATGATATCGTATACAATCAAAATACTCTGAACCACAATAAGGTATGTAAGTAAACAGGAAAATATGCGTTTGAAAATCATAGCTCCTTCTTTTATCTTGTTAATCATTATAATACTACAATAAATTCAAAGCCGACCTGGCAATGACATAGGTAGCTTTCTTTGAAAATAAAAGAATTGTCTTATTAAATATTTATCTTGAAGAATTTATAAAGGATCGTTTAGGAAAATCGTCGCAAAAAATATCCTTTTAAACACGATACGAATTTCAGTTAACAATATGAATGAAAACGATCATGTACAAAGTGGTCGAGAAATGTTATTGTTAATTCTACAATGACACGTAAGAATAAGTCTGAAAAATATCGTTTATCGAAAAACCTAATAAGTAAATTTCAATTTGAAGTAAATTTATATTTAACCCTTTAGAATTTACACTGAAAAGATATGTAAAGATAAATAGTATTTTGTATTCAGGTATCTTTAGTTCAGAGAAAGTATTATTACAAAATAATTGTAGATAACATTACAACTTTTGACACAAAAATAAGTTCAATGCAAAATTATCTGAAAATATTAAAAATGATAAATAATAATATTATCGGAAAGAAATAGAAGCTGAAATTCAGCATCATTCAAATGTTTGAATAAACAGAATGCGATCCATTGATTTCCGTTTTGTTATATATTATCTAAGTATTTAACCCTTAGTTACTTACCCGTTATAATCTCCGTATCCGTTGCTGATTAATCATTGTTACTAATTAGATTAGCTCACTTGTTAATCCACACCACTTAATTAATTAAATCAATTACTTATATCAACCATAAATGTTAAGAGGCGGCAGAAATATTGTCCTATATTATTAAGATATTCTTCCATTCAGACAACATCGTCAAATTGACAGCGGATAATTATAATTAGAACCTAGTGGTGAAATAACCAGCTGAGAATCAGTTGTAATGATCTAATTGTACAGAAATTTACGAGGGAACGGGTCAAGAATGATTATTTAGCGAGAACTAGAAATATAATTAGCTCCATGAGAACTTACGTTTGTATTGTAGGAAGCCGAGTGAAAAACAAAACCGCTCTATAAATCAGCAATCAATAGGAAACTGAATAATTATAAGCTACCCAAAGTCAGATGAAATTAAATTAATTAGCAAGACCCGCAGCCCAGTGTGTCCGCATTTAGATCTCTTAGCTGTAAATGGAAGAAAATTGAAAAGCAAAGATTTCATGATAAGAGAAATAAATTAAATAAAGCTGAGACCAACCAGTGTAGTTGTGGCTAATACAGCCCAAACCGCCTCAAATTACAGACAAAGTCGCCCAAACCGCTATATAAAACCTTCTGCAGACCACCGTCCTTGGTAATTTCGATAAGACTTTGATGTAGAAAAGGACTTACCTGTACTGTGAACCAAAGTGTCCCCGAGACCGAGAGAAGCACTACTGTTGGGCTCCATTTCATTTGCCTTTGAATTAACAACGCACGACTGTTTTTGCTTTAAACATGATCCCAGTTTTTACAATACTTCACGGAGTCTTTGAAGACTCAAAGGCGCGCTGTGATTGGTCGATCGGTCTCTGTTCATGCTGGTAGCACCGCGCCCTGATGCCAGGCCGAGTGTGAGTGCGATATTCCGAGTACGGGCGTGAATTGAAAGACGCATCGATATCATATCTAAATAACGTTAATAACAAGCCGAACATATGACGAGAGACGGACACAGTAATAAATGTATCGAAACAATTAATATTTACGCTTACACGTTCGTCAAACGTACGGCGTTTGGGAATCTCAGGTATATATACAGGTAAATGCATGTTAAGTAAATAAATGTATGGTCTATTTATATATTTAAGTATATATAAAAGAGGTCAAGATATGAAAAAAAAATGTTTGGACATTGTAACGGTTTCAAAGAATTGCGTTTCGCAATACAATGCATGTAGACCCATTATACTTGGTACACAAATGTACGCCGACACAAAACGGGCTGCCTTTGTGGTTCGTACCGCCCGCCGAGGTCATTTTATAATATAGTACTCCGGACACTGCTACTGTCTGACCATCGCTGTTATACCAGTAAATAGAAACACAATTGGACATTGTAAGTAACGGAGCGGTCCCATTGTAATTGAGCGGGTTAAGTTTATTTTAACTTCAGTATTTTGTTTAACGGTATTTTGAAAGACTTCAATATTATCTTTACACCTTCAGTGAATCGGCCCCTGTTTTAGACAGACCTAAACTATTCAACAATATAAGCAAATCGATTTAAGATATTATTTCAATTTATGTGAGGTACAGAAATCCAGCTAGATCTGTGTATTTTACCCGTTATCTGATTTTTAAATAGTCTTTATGTGGTATTCATAGTAATTGTAATTGTGTTGTCAGCAGAGCGCCTTGTAAGTCAGAACTTGTGCCCAATCCTCTTGATAGTTCTTTTTCAATAAAACATGTTTGAATGAATAAACTCGCTGTCATTCCGAGCCGACTAGGTCAGGTTAAAATGTATCAAAATGCTCATCAATTTCAATTAAATTCTGTTATTTTGTGAGCCTTACGGTTTATAAGATACAGGACATGTGTTGTAGCACGTGTATTTACAATTTATACACACTGATACAGTTGTACAGGAGAGTGACAATCACAGGTACATACTGTACACATGAGATTGGACAATAAAATAACATACCAATTTATACACACTAATACAGTTGTACAGGAGAGTGACAATCACAGGTACATGCTGTACATAACGCATGAGATTGAACAATAAAATAACATACCGATTCTTAGAGGGACCTTTCGGAATTAAGAAATGTCTACCATCATGACATTATGTTTTTAGGTGTCAGATAAATTAGTAAGCAAGCCAACTTTTCCTTTTGAAACTTCAAGAAAAAATACCTAGGTAAAATAAACCTATCGGAATATTGGTTATGTTGTTAGCGCACCATTGGTGGGAAGTAAGCTGGTGAAATGAAAGTCAATTTTATTTTCTAAAATTTTATATTAAAGAAGTAAAAAAGACTTCTGTGTTTGTTACTTCACCTCTTGTAGGATTTGATAACGGGCGTCTTTATCAACTTTATTTATTTTACAACAATCATGAAACAAGTTATTTCAACTTATATTAATCGTTCTTGTTGGCTCGGATGTTAGTGCGTGGGGGTCTTAATGTGTGAGGAAACTAGAGTACCCGGAGAAATCTACGTGGTCGGGCAGGTGACCTCATACCTTTTCTCGCCCGGAGGATTTTGACGTTATTGTTTAAATGCTTTTAATTATGTGTTCGAAATATTTTATCTAAACGATATATCCCTGTGGTTATTGTGTTAGTAATACGTGTAACATACTAGTACTTATTATTTACCTCCAGTTCATAAATTTAACTTCAAATGCTACCTGTCTGTGATAACACATGCTACCTGTCTGTGATTACACATGCTCCCTGTCTGTGATTACGCATGCTGCCTGTCTGTGATTACGCATGCTGCCTGTCTGTGATTACACGTGCTACCTGTCTGTGATTGTACACGCTACCTGTCTGTGATTTCACGTGCTACCTGTCTGTGAGAACAAATGCTACCTGTCTGTGATACACGTGCTACCTGTCTGTGATTGTACACGCTACCTGTCTGTGATTGTACACGCTACCTGTCTGTGATTTCACGTGCTACCTGTCTGTGATTTCACGTGCTACCTGTCTGTGATAACCCATGCTACCTGTCTGTGATAATAAATGCTACCTGTCTGTGAGTTCACATTCTACCTGTCTGTTATTACACAGGCTACCTGTCTGTGATTGTACACGCTACCTGTCTGTGATTATACACGCTACCTGTCTGTGATTGTACACGCTACCTGTCTGTGATTGTACACGCTACCTGTCTGTGATTAGACATGCTACCTGTCTGTAATTACACATGCTACCTGTTTGTGATTCCCCATGCTACCTGTCTGTGAGAACAAATGCTACCTGTCTGTGAGTTCACATTCTACCTGTCTGTTATTACACAGGCTACCTGTCTGTGATTGTACACGCTACCTGTCTGTGATTCCACATGCTACCTGTCTGCGATTACACACGCTACCTGACAGTGATTACACATGCTACTTGTCTGTGATTACACATGCTGCCTGTCTGTGATTACACGTGCTACCTGTCTGTGATTACACATGCTACCTGTCTGTGATTACTTATATGATGCTTTCCTCTTGTACCTTTATTGCTTTTACTTGCTAAATTCTTAACGAGCTTTGAATTAACCAGCATGCTGTTTATTCATGCTATTTCTTATTTGTATCCATTGTTGGTCGCAAGAATAGCACTACAGTGCTAATGTTTATTGTTTTAAATATAACTAAAATTTCTTGTATCTTGTAACCTTAAAAAAAAGTCAAAGATATAATGACAAGCGCACAGGACAGAATTGGAAGTAAATCAAGTATCGCATTTTTTTTCTGATGTGCTAATCTCTAAATGTTAATAAATGATTTCATCGCAATTGAGAAATAGCTCCTCCCTCCCACTAGTTAAAACTTCATTTCTACAGCATGAGAGATGTCCGAGAGTACCAACGCGACAGGAATACGTCAAACTCGAACGTGTGACAAACAAAAATACACGTCACAGGCACACGACACACACACACCTGTAACAAACAAAAATACGTGTGACAGGCACGCGACACACGTCATAAATAGTCATGCGTATTATTCAACTTCTTATTACAACATACAAGACATTGCGTTTATCTGCATTAATTACATAGTATAACAAAGTGATATCGAGTATAGTTTGTACTGAATACAGTTCAACACAGTAAACCTGAAGTACTGGAATCCCAGTTATTTGAAGATCATCATTTTGTACAAAGTCATGATAACGTGAAATACGAGTAAATCCCATTGTACCGAGATATTTTGAAATGGTCAAACCAATAGCAAACACTATCACATGCATTTTTGTTACCACATACTCATATTATATATACTTTATAACTCGTACTCTGATGTCTATATTATGTATATTTTATACCTCGTACTCTGAGTTCTATATTATATATACTTTATAACTCGTACTCTGAGTTCTATATTTTGTATACTTTATAACTCGTACTCTGATTTCTATATTATGTATACTTTATACCTCGTACTCTGATTTCTATATTTTGTATACTTTATACCTCGTACTCTGATTTCTATATTTTGTATACTTTATACCTCGTACTCTGAGTTCTATATTATGTATACTTTATAACTCGTACTCTGATTTCTATATTTTGTATACTTTATACCTCGTACTCTGATTTCTATATCATGTATACTTTATAACTCGTACTCTGATTTCTATATTATATATACTTTATAACTCGTACTCTGAGTTCTATATTATGTACACTAGATTGTTTAAACTTTTTATACATGCTAGATTATGAGCCAGAACGCTGTTGAGTAGCTGTAAACTTGATCACATTACAAACGTATTGCTGTATATATACCCTAATGAAACATATAATTTTCCTGAATTTTGACAGAGTTTCCATGATGAACAGAGAGTATACAGTACTCTCTACTACTGACCCCCGTATCTATAGACCTCTTTCTCTCCTCTATATTAAACAGATAATGGGATTAATTTGACCCCTGTCTGTGTTTCATTAGCGGATGTAATCAGGTAAGAAAAATGACCCCTTTTCAATAGTGCACGACATCAATTTTATAATCTTAATCAGGAGTTACTTAAACCTTATTTCTATTTAGTAAAGTTCATTATGTTTTTTAATTGCAGACATTAGTTTCATGGCCGAATATGTATAAGTAAATGTTAAACTCGATTGTACGATTTTTGTCTCCGTACGATAGCCAGCACTCCCAAAAGACGTATTTATTTAAACTCACTAAAAGCTTGTAACATTTGGAAGAAGCTTTTAAAACTTTAAAACCATTCAGATTTTTTTTACTTAAACCACTTAAGGTGTGTCAGCGGTTAGGTGCTGAACTTTTCTGAGAGTGGCTAAAGACAGATAATTTATCTTCAAATGTAATGGTATTATCTACTTTAGCAGCGTGCTGGTATTTTGAAATACTTTATGTGAAAATACGACCGGTGAGAAGAAATCAAGAAAAGAAGGAGTGGAGAAGGATAGAAAAATGGGTGAGGAACCGGAGGACAGTGAAGAGCAGAAGAATGGAACGAAGGAATTCAAAGGAGAGTGAAGGGGATGAAGAAAGGGGGGAATTCAATGGGTGAGAGAGAGAGAGAGAGAGAGAGAGAGAGAGAGAGAGACAGAGAGAGAGAAACTGTGCCGTTTTATATTACTTGTATAACTTGAGGTTACAGTGAAATTACATAAACAACAAATTGATTAACATTCATGAAAATATCAATTAGAAAAGTATCATAGATAATTTCTTATTTTCGTCCTGTCAGGGGTTGGGTGTTATTTCTAGCAGCTTATTCCATTTTTTCCA